AGTACAGGGTGTCCAAATTTCGATGGGTTTGCAGGGTATCTCAGTTATTATGAAAGATAGAAAGTTGCGGCTTTCGCGAACCTGAGCTACTTTTTTGTGAAACTTACAATGGCGCAAACCAAATTTTCATAGCCCTCTTCGTTTTTGATATACAGGGAGTGTTTGAAATTTACGATTTTCAGACACCTCCTGTATCTCGGCTATCCGGAAACTTAGTAAAAAAGTAAAAACGGGTTCTAATAGATTTTTTCACGTGGAATCCAATGGTGCACGTAGAATTTTTCTAGTCATCACGGTTTTTGAGTTATAAACACAACCCAAATACTGAATACTCAACTTCTAAAATACTTAACTCTTTATAACTCACAAACCGTGATGACTAGAAAAATTCTACGTGCACCATACGTGAAAAAATCTATTGGAGCCCGTGTTTACGTTTTCGGATAGCCGAGGTATAGGAGGTGTCTGAAAATCGTAAATTTTGAAACACTCCCTGTATATCAAAAACGAAGGGGGCTATGAAAATTTGGTTTGCGCCATTGTAAGTTTCACAAAAAAGTAGGTTCGCGAAAGCCGCAACTTTCTATCTTTCATAATAACTGAGATACCCTGCAAACCCATCGAAATTTGGACACCCTGTACATTAAGCCTACAACTACAGATGAAATTTAGCGTATAATTGATAATATAAACAACAATGCAGCACCAGGCGATGACGATATAAAACCAAAAGCGGTGAAAGTACTGAAAGGAGTTTTGTCACTTGTTCTATCAAGTATTATCAATAGAGAAATAAAACTTGGTCAATTTCCCCATATCCTAAAGATAAGAAGAATAACTTCAGCGCATAAAAAAGGCTCAAAAACTCTTCCGGAGAACTATAGACCCAATATCTATACTGTCGGACTTTGCCAAAATATTTGAATCAATTTTAAAAAGTAGACTACTGTCCCATTTGAATACGATTGGTTTCCAAACTTGTGAGCAGCATGGTTTCATAGGCGGTAGGAGCACACAGACTGCTATTATATCATTGTTGGAATTTCTTTATATATGTTTTAATATTTTTATAACAGTCTTTTGGTACTGACTAAAACTTTTCTAAATTGCCTTTCTAAGATTTATTCTTGCATTATAAAGTTATTTGTTTTTGGAATCCCACTAGTTTATTGGTTGAGTTTAAGATATTATTATATAGTTTAAGAAGTTATGTTATTAAAAATAACAAAAATGTCTGATAAGTAAGCCAGTTTAGTACACCATATGTTATCTTCCAACGAATGAGCAAAATCATAATCTTGTTCAAAAAACATTTTCATTTCGCCTTTTAATTCTAGCACACGAGATAAAACTTTTCCTCTGGACAACCACCTTACTTCCGTATGCAGTTTCAATGGTCTTGGTTTTATACAATTAATCATTTTAACACATTGTTCCAGAACTATTTTCAATTCTGATGTCTGATTCTAATTCAGTTCTTTAACATGTGCTACAAATCCTTTTAGATGTAAAGTCATAGCTGAAGCACCATCTGTACAAATGCCAATACATGACTTCCACGAAACTTAAATTTCTTCTAAATATGAACTAATTACATCAAAAATATGTTTGCTAGTTGTAAAATCAGGTAACTCCTGACAACATAAAAATTGATTAATTATATCATTTTCATCATTGCAATTAATTAAGCTTTTCCTGTAATATCTGTTGTTTCGTCGATTTGTAGAGCAAAATTTGAATTTGCAAGAGTTCTTGCAGTATTTTGCTCAATATTTTGCAACTTATCTTTAATTCTGTGATGGATTGTGTCATTGGAAAATGGTATTTTACAAATATCAATATCTGCTGATCCACCAATCATTATTTTTAAAATTTTGCGACAAGCTGGTAATATAATATCCTCAGCCAAATTGTGAGGTTTTAATTTAAAAGCAATCAATTCAGCTATTTCATAAGAAGCTACTTGAGCCTTTTTAGACACACCGATTTGTTTTTCAAAAACTTTTACTTGCTTGGATTTTGAAGATAAAGACTTTGAAAGCCAAGGATGATTAGTCACTAACTGACGTTGGAGCTTGACTGACATCAAGCTCCTTGATGCGACACTCTATGTTACGTTCAGTTTGGACAACTGCATGATAACCGATAGACTCATGCTACCTTTAATGTGATTAGTTTGTCTTGGGCTATAGGATGAGTGTTCCGAATTTTGCACTCCGTACTGTATCCTAACATGATATTGTTCGTAGTCTTCTAGGGCTGGTGTTATTAGAAATAAAACTATCGTCCATGACGCACGGCATAATCCGAAAGTTTGTAGTTTTAGTTTTATTTCAGATTTTGTACTTTTAACATTAAATCTTTAGAACCATTCTGGTTTCTTTCTTATTAATGTTCTCACAATGTTTTATTTATATAGAGTGTCCGGAAAGTCATGGTGCACTTTTGACCCGTTACAGAAAAGCAACAAAGCAAGATGAGAAATGCTTTAACTAGCACTTGAATAGCACTCTCAAGCTCCTTGATGCGATACTCTATGTTACGTTCAGTATGGACAACTGCATGATAGCCGATAGACTCATGCTACTTTTAATGTGATTAGTTTGTCTTGGGCTATAAAATGAGTGTTCCGAATTTTGCTCTCCGTACTGTATCGTAACATGATATTGTTCGTAGTCTTCTATGGCTGGTGTTATTAGAAATAAAACTATCGTCTATGACGCACGGCATAACCCGGAAGTTTCTAGTTTTAGTTTTATTTCAGATTTTGTACTTTTAACATTAAATCGTTAGAACCATTCTGGTTTCTTTCTTATTAATGTTCTCACAATGTTTTATTTATATAGAGTGTCCGGAAAGTCATGGTGCACTTTTGACCGTTACAGAAAAGCAACAAAGCAAGATGAGAAATGCTTTAACTAGCACTTGAATAGCACTCTCAAGTTCCTTGATGCGTCACTCTATGTTACGTCTATTTTGGATAACTGATACATGATAAACTCACGTTCCCTTTAATGAGGTTAGTTTTTCTTTAGCTATCGAAAAATACCATGAAAAGATACTTGCAATTCGCTCCGTCATACCTGAAATAAGGAAGGCAGAAAAAACCGACTGGTGTAGTACTGCTAGAAACAATTCTTCTTTCTTTAATTTCTTTTCGTCGCATTTCTTTTCTGTTCGCTGGAACAAAGCTTGAATCACCTACCTTTTCTGATATAATTTAAAGATAATAAATTCAACTTTTTGTAATACTTCGATTTAGTATTTGTTTTTGGTATTCATTTAGGCTCGTTATGAATATGTATTGATGTCATGGTTCAATATTAAATATTGACATCACTAAGACGTTAATTCGATTTTAATGTTCAAATAAGAAAATCTGAGCATAACAAAATAATGGATTAACTCTGTTCGCGTTTTACTATTTATAATCGCGTACTAACTCAAAGTTTAAATAGTAGCACAAACTGGGTTAAATTAAATTAAAATCGATAACTGATTTATGTGGAAATACGATACGCATAGTTCCTTTGTGAAATCATAAATCGATTGACGTAATTGATCGGAAACAAAATAACTCTCGGCGTTCCGCATCGCGATGTTAAATCATTATAGAGAGGCCAACAAAATATTCCATGCATAATTTTTGGTGTTCATCTCGGCGCCACACAGCGTCAATACTAAAAATAGACGACATAAAGAATTTTGGAATGTAAACTTTTGGGAATTAGTACGAGGGCATATTTCAAAGAAATTAATTAATTTGTTATGCAGATTATCACCCTCAATGCGCTTGCTAACAATGTTATAAGTTGCTATTTTTATTTCCAAACGTTGAAGTGGGTTATTAATTATTATTATCTTAAGAGTAGAGTACAAAAAAATAAAACGGGTAAAAGAAAGAATTTCTTGTTGTTTATTTCGTTTTATTTTCTATTCGATTTAATAAGCATTCAGAAAGACAGCTCAAAGAATAGTTTTTAATTGAAAATGATTTGTCGTTTAAAAAAGTGTCACTTTTCTTAAGTTACGTTAAATTAAAATCTTTTTTAACGTCTCTAAATTGAACGACCACCAAGTTGAATGTTTCGAATTAATTCAATTATTTTCGAAATCGAAAGCAATCACACAAAGAGTTAATTGTCTTAAACGATTCGATTTAAATTTTTTTCTATATATAGCCGAGTTATTTTTCCGCATTAACTCTTTCGTTTTTTATTTTTTAATTGCTACCGAGAACTTTAACGTTATTGTTTCGCTATCTCCGTTATTTTTATCATTTCGCGTTTCGAGCTCCAATAGGCGACCTGCTGTTACTCCCAGTTAAGAGCACCTTTGAATTTGTGTAACATTACAGTTTCGTTCAGTTGTGGATCGCAACTGGGTGTAATAGTAACCAAACCAATTTACTAAAATAATAGGCTGTGCTTTAATAATTTTTTTATGTCAAGGTATGTACATAATTTTTTTTCAAATTTAATAGGTTTTGTGTCGATAATCTGTAATAATCCGTGTTCTTGTCTTGAAACTGTTTTATAAAGTTGTTACGAGCGGCTTTTACGAAGAGATTGCCGCTTCGCGGTACTGTTAACCACTGCACGGGGCATAATTTAATGTCTAAATGATACGATTCAGTCACGAATTTCCATTTAATAGTCTTGTAACAGTAAGGAATTCTGCGGGGCAACTGTTTGCTTCCTATACCTATTCAAATCGAATGGATGCAAATACTTTTTTAGGGAACTCCACCGTTCTCTTTTGCGACGACGCGTATCGAATGCATTTCCTCTCGTTACTACTTATTCAAGAACATCCAGCATAAAATTTATTACATTTACTTTTGATACGCACTATATGTGTTTTTTTTTCAAACAAAAATGTGTACAAGTCCCACCAAAACATCAATTAAAAAAATGACAGATTTGGTATTTTAAAAAGATTGCAAAATTCTCATCACAACCAATGTCATACTCATCATTTGCATGCCATAAAAATTAATAGTGCTATTTCTTTCAGTTACATCATCAACTTGGTCATAGTCGCATAATATTATCATTTTGATTAGGTTATCTAGTTTCTTTTAAAATTATTTTCACTTTCTGCTATGGATTTGAAGTCTTGTTTAACTTTATGTGTAAACAGAAATCTCGCTGTATATCTGTTTAGCTAATAAATACACGAGTCTCATGTTACTTACATGAACTTAATATAATAAGTATAAATTTGCAATCTATTAAAATCTAATTGAAAAATTAAAGAATTATTTATAGAATTAACATCCGTAAAAAATAATAATAAAAACAATATCTCAAATAATGCAAAATGTAATGATTATTACATCTTTATCAGACTGTTGAAATTAATTAATCGCAAATAAATTAATATCTTATCAACTTTCATTGATTGAGATATCAAGGTTTGTTTTTGAAAAGTTGAGATTGATTTGGATTAAAAATCCTATTCGAAGAGGTGATTCCGGAAAAGGATAAGCTCTGCTTCAGAGAAGCGTACCGTAATTCTGTCTCACTTCCCAATATTGGGAGAAACTCATCTTTATATCGACCCATCCCTAACTACTCGCCAACCCGTTTGGACAACATGGCATGAAACGACCAAGAATTTTACCACGGTGTACATCAGCAGGAAAAGACTCTCAGTCTCCGGAAAACCAGAAACAGCTCGTTATGGCAGTGACGAATCCTGTTGATGATTACAGATGTATTAAGAATTTCCAGGTCAGGAAAGGCTGCCTAAGAAACGTGACCATTACAATGTATAGGATGCCCAAATAAGCTACTTATTGTAGAGACTTGCGGTTAAAAATTTAATAATTAAAGTGGCTAAGAAAAAATCCTGGAAATTATTTTCTCTTTCACTCTTTCCTGGCATTTCGCCATTGAAAAATGTTGTCTTTTTTCGGAATTACACTGCATTAACACTACACAAAAATATATGCCTTTTAAAGTTGAAATGAATTATAGTTTTTTTTGTCAAACTACTTTTTGCCTTATCTCTAATAATAAAGTGGTGGGGGGCGTTCGAAAATGTTGATAAACAAATGCCAATAACTTCAAAATGGCTAAACGGATTTTAATAGACTTGGTATCGATGAAAAGAGCTTCTCTTGGACTACAAATCCTATCTTGTTTGTAGTGATTATAAGTTGGTACATCACCAAGAGTTTTCTTAGAAAAGTTAAATCTATTGGTATAACTTTTTTTTTCACGAAGAAACAGCAAAATGAAGCCCAAACAAGCTAGTGAAATCTGCGCCTCGATATCATGTTTCTAATCTAAAATATCGGTGAAAGATATAATAAAAAAATTCATATATTTGCAATGTGGAAAATATGATACATGAAATCAATGGCAAAAATTGAGATTTATTGGAAATCGGAAGGGACCAAGAAATATGCACTAAATTATGTCTGAAAATACTTTGTACTAGTGATGGAACGGATAGTGATTTTGCGAAAAGCCGGATACCGGATATTCTGGGTATCTGGTTATCCGGCATATCTATAAGACTATTATGGTTATAACAATGTAGGGTATACATTGCCACATTATTGCGATATTTGAATAAGAATGAAATTAATAAGAAAGCTGATAAGATATGTCAAGGAAAATCGAAAATTTTATCAAAACTTCAAATATTGTTTTCTCAAAAACTAAAAGTTATTTTTCAAAACGGATTCGTTCATTGGAAAGAGGACACTTTTATTAACACTTTGGGAAATTTTCATACTCATATTCCAAAAAATGGATTTTATACGAATTTTTAAAACTTAATCGGCGAAAATTGCAAAATTCGAAAATATTGTCGATTATTTCCAAAATTTATTTCTCAAGAACTGAAAGTGATTTTTCAAAACAGCTTTTTGCATTAAAAAGAGGATAATTTAATTAATAATTGGTGATATTTCCACAAGGATCCTTCAAGAAATGAATTTTATAGCGAATTTTGAAAGTTATCGATGAAAATTGCAACATCGAAAATTTCATCAAAACTTCAAATATTGTTTTCTCAAAAACTAAATGTTATTTTTCAAAACAAGTTGGTTCATTGGAAAGAAGACACTTTTAT